ACAGCGCGCGGCACCACACAGCATCCGCGGCCGGTGCCTGGGCCCCCCCCAGCCACGGCCACGCCGCTTTCCCCCAGCTTGCAATGACATCTAGTGGAGCTGCCTTGGGAAATCGCTCAGCCCGAGCGAGCCGACAGGCCTCCTTCGGCATTTCCAGCGCTGAATTTCCCCCTCCAACCTCCTCTTCGAAACGCGTGGGCAGGAGACAAGAGCCAGCACAGCTTTCCAGGAGCCAAAAAAAATCACCTTTCCACAGCAACACTGAGTCCCCTCCAGCCTGCGCCGAGACTGATGTAAGGCATGTGCTGTAACGATAGAGCTGGGGATTATTATCATTATGCAGAGCCTTTTACATCAGGCTTCCCCTCCATCCCCCAAAACATCATGAATAAATGGTTTCAGGGTGTCACAAATGCTGTTCCTGCAAAGCCCACGGCTGCTGTAGGAGGGGGCTGGTGGCAAAAAAAAAAAAAAAACACACCAAGCCGCAGCCAGAGAAGTGCCTGTTCTTCCACTGAAGGCAAGGAAGAAAATATGGAAGGACAGGTTACCAAAGGAAGGTTAACAAGGAAGGTTAACAAAAATATGGTAACCAGAAGAAAAAAAAAGTGGTAATCGGCAACATGCACCAGCAACTCCCAGGGATCGTGTCCCTGCTGATGGTGCAGCACCCAACAGGTTAACCGCAGCCCAGTCCTATTTTAAAACTGGAAGAGCGCTGCAGCTTGATCCCGATTCATTCCTGTAGAGATATAATCATAGCCTTTATGAGATGTAATCATAGTATTTATTTAAGAATTAAGTGTATCTGAAAGTGGCCTAAATTCCTCGTGCGAGAGCTGAGTCAATGCCTCAGCATCTGACTCAGCGCTGCTTCAAGGGAGCCGGTTCCTGGCTAACGTGGCAATGATTCCCATCGCCGTAAGCCGAGGGGGCACCTTGCCTCGGGGACGGGGTGCCGTAGGAAATGGCAAGAGCCTGAAAGCACCCCGTAAGTGAAAGGAGGGGCAGGTGAGAACCACAGAGCTGGTTGAAGGAGAAACGATCACCCAGAGCAATTCTGTATTTTCTTATACATGTTTATTTAGAGTCAATGAGCAAGGGCAGCGCAGCTGGGATGCAGCGCACAGTCAGTGGAGGGGTAAGCGCTATTTGCAGCTTTTATACGACAGAAGAAAAAAAAAAGACATTAAAAAAACCTCACAAACAAACATCACTTTCCAAAGACAAGACAGACAGACACCCTAGCTGCCAATAGATCAGGGTACCGTTGAGCTGCCTCGAGGTGCTAAGGCAGTTACCAAAGCAGCGGTGGAGATTCCCATTCAGGTTCCCCCCTCCCCCCCAAAAAAAGCTCCTTTGCAGACCATGTTTGAGACCTGCTGCTCCTGTGCCTGAAGGAGACGGGGCTGGGAAGAGGCTTGGGACCGTTACCAGCTCCTTTCCCATCACGTGGAAGGGGCTGGGTAAGGAGTTTACACAGAGGAGAAAGTGCTTTAAAAGCAGCCATGGCCAAGCTTGGTCACTATGCCACACTTTAAAACTAATTAAGCAATACAGCAAATCAACAGGGGACAGAGCAGCCACCATCCTGGCTGAGACAGGGGCTTGGGGTTGCCTCCACACCAGCTGCCAGGCATCAACGTGGTCCAGGGGAGAGGAGAGGTCCCTGCTCTGGTCCCCCGAGGCATGCCCAGAACAGCAGTGGCTCTGGGCCACCCGCCTCTATTTCTGCGCCCAGCCTGGCTGGAGAGCAGGCAGTGAAATTCATTTTTAAAAACCAAAACTCTCCTATTGCACCTTGATTTACTAGAGAACAGCCCATGGGTGTCTTCACAAGCAGTTATTGCCTCTATATTCTCCCTCTCCCTACCCCCATATAAAGTTTAATTCTGACATTTCCCCACCTTTAGGTGGGAGGAAGAAAAAATATATATTAAAATACCTTTATCTCATCACTAAAAACATGCGTAGTGTCCAGGAATCCAGCGTCCTTGAGCAGCTGGCTGTTAGCAACACAGGAACTAAACAGCCAAAATACCCACAAAAACTAGATTTTACAAGCTACGCGTGCCGCAAAAGCTGCGGCAGCCG